AACAAGTCCTTTTTATTGCTGAATTTTAAAAATATTCTCTTTATTATTAATCAAAGATACATATACAATTTGTTTTTAGTTTTCTTCTCCGTGCTTTGGCCTCCGGACATCGCACACCCGCTCCCCCCTCCTTTGCTCTGATTTTTCTTTTTCTTCTCTTTATTGTTCATGGGCCCTTTGGGCCCATTCAAGTACTGCGTGATTTGCAATAACAAGACCCCACTATCGGATGGTCACACAAAGTGCCTTTTTTGTTTAGGCGAGGCGCATCAAACCTCCTCGTGCCCTCATTGTAAAAATTTCAAACGAGGAGTCCTCCGTTCTTGCCTATCTCGACTCAAACTCCGCCTCTGGGAACAGTCTTTGCAACCGGCAAAACCTATGGCTCAAACTACGTGCAAAACCACCTCACAAGCTAAAGCCATGGAAAAAGACATTGCGGAATCATCGAAACATCATTCCTCCACTACTCTATCTCACTCTGATGCGCCTTCCACTTCATCGAAAACTTCTAAGACGCACAGATCTTAACAGCTGACATTGAAAACTTTGACATCGAAGCCTTCCAGAAAGCGAAAGCCTCCTCCCAATGCGGTTCCTGGTCCCCCGCAACAAAAACGATCTAAACAAACCAAATCAAAGACCCCGGCAGTCCCTCCACAGCAGGTTTCTGAACCCAGCAATTTAATTTCTGTAGGTTCACCTTCTGATGATGAAGGACTTCCATCTCATCAACCGGCTTCTCAGTCACTGACATGGGAACAAGCAAGCAGACAGTCTTATTTCCTTGCCTAATAGTCCCCAGCATTCTATCTCTCCTCTTAATCTGTCCATTGACACCTCCCCAGAGAGAGAAGAACCTGAGCCTCAGCCGGACACAGTGCCATAGTCTATGCCATTGGGCCAGCATCAGACACATCCAGCATATAAGGCAATTCCACAAGCGCGTGTCGATCAATCCCGCACACAGCACGCTCATCAGGTAGACATTTGCCCCGATCAGTGCTTCTCTAACCTGCCGGCTGTAGATGCTCGACCGGCTGCCTCCTCTGGTCCGGTATTAGCATCGCACCAAAAACCTCAATCTCGACAACCTTCCATTTCGAAGAGGACTTATCACTCAGAGACACATAGCCATCATATGATTCTTCATCAACCACTGGTGAAAATCAGGGCAGTCAAGAAATACGCTTCCACCCACGAAGCATTCACAGCCCCTGTGACTACATATTTTCCAGCTCAAAATGATAGAAATCACTCCTCTCGCTCGGCATCCCCAGCCTCGATTTACTCTACAGACCTACCTATGCATCAATCGATCTTTCTCGGTTGCTAGCCCTCAACAACGGCTAGACACGCAGTCCGTCAATATTGAGACGCAAACTTCTCCACCAAGATCCCATGGATGCACCTTCAACATCGTTCGACAACTCTGACATCAACAAATGTCCATGGATATGCCACACTCTTCAGTGGCAGACCACCATCAACATGACTATGATCAACATCCTCTCAACACCGAGGTCAATTGATGTTCTATCAACTCCAGTCTCGATCCTGAGGTCTCAGAACATGGTTCTCGACCACAAACTCTATCTGTGCTTCTCAAATTGCCAGATTCCAACCTCGCAGATGTGATCCTTCATCCCCAGCAGAGGATTTCCAAACTTACGCTCAACTCATGATCTGCATGGCTAAGTCATTGGACCTTCGGATCCACCGCCCCACAACCAAAGCGGCGGATGACCTTTATAATTCTATTTCTTATGAATCCATATTTCCACGCTACCATTTCTACTTAGCACTACTGAGCAATCTTGAACCAAACCAGCCTCCTTTCACTCAGTCTCAAAAAGAATCGATAATCTCTATCGGATACACGACCCTGAAGCACTTTTCTCCAGAAACAGCCGGCCCCAAATTCAGTATTTGTCAAGGCCTCACAATCGCGATCTTGACAATGACAGTCCCTTATCCCACCTAACAAGGACAGTTGAAGAATGAACTCTGTGGGCAGGTGGCTTTACTCATCAACGGCTTTTACTATGAGGTAGCTAACTACCAAGGAGCTATATGAGCATATCAACGCTTCCTTTGGGATAACATGGCCACTTTTCTTGACTCATTACCAGAAGACAAAAAAGTATTAGCACAAACCTTCCAACAGGTTCTCTCTGTTGCCAAACAGCAAATGCTCTCTGCCAAACACATGGTAGATGCCACGGCTAAATCCTCTGTCGCGCTCAGACATTGCTCCTGGCTAAGAACAGCTGGCCTCGCAGAAGATGCTCAAGCACGTATTGAAGACCTATTTGATGGCACCTGAATACTGAAACTGATGACATCTTAGAAAACATTCAGAAGAAATGTTCCGCTGCCAAAAGATGGAGTCTCTATTCCACTTATCAACAGTGCCCCCAACACAATCAATGGAGGCGACCTTACAATTCCTACCAGAGGTTCCAACACGAACCCCAGCGTCAGAACATCTACTTTAATCAACAATACAAAAATCTCGCCAGCAACCTATCCAAAGGCGCAATGACTGCAAATCCAAACATCACGTTTGACGTTTTCCCGAGTGAGATCGCAAATCAACCCCTTTCCTCTGAAAACATTTACCTCCCTGGCAATCCATCACCACGGACACCTGGATCTTTCCATTGTCTAAAATGGATACCACATCCATTTCCATCAACTCCCTCCATCGCATCACATCGTCACTCCACTGTCCCAAATTCTACGAGAGAAAAAATCTACTCATCAAAGATGCAATAGAACCTATACAACAAAACAACGGTTTTCTCTCTCTTTATTTCACCATCCCCAAGAAGGACGGAGGTTTACCACCTATTCTAGACCTCAGAGAACTCAATCAATATGTAATTACCACAAAATTCTGTATGGTAACTCTCGAATCCGTTCTACCTCTTTTCAGAAAAAACAACAACTGGTTTACAGTCATAGATCTACAAGATGCATACTTCCACATCGCCATCCACCTCTCCCACAGACAGTTTCTTCGATTCCAACTCAGGCTCCAAGCCCACCAATTCAAAAGACTTCCTTTCGCACTTGCAACAGCTCCCAGAGTCTTTACCAAGTGCATGGCCCCAGTGGCTGCCTTTCTCAGACTTCAAAAGATCCTTGTCTTCCCATACATAGACGACTGGCTCCTTGTAGCTCATTCCCACCACAAAGCTCGCCGAGACATCCTTTTCACTTTATCCCTCCTTTGCAGTCTCAGTCTCATGGTCAACATGTAAAAATCCAAAATGAAAAGGATTATTCATTATATGGGGCTTCCATAAACTCCACCCAAGCTCACGCATTACTCCTGCTCGACAAACAAAATCTCCCCCCCCCCAAGTTTCACCCCCAATGCCTTGGTTTCTGCCATCCTTGTTCAATGTGTACTAGACACCATGGCCTCCATGACCTCAGTCGTACAACATGTATGCCTGAAGATGAGGCCTCTACAATCATGGTTTCTCGCACTTTGCGACCCACAAAATCTCCCCCCCCCCAAGTTTCACCCCCAATGCCTTGGTTTCTGCCATCCTCGTTCAACGTGTACTAGGCACCATGGCCTCCATGACCTGTCGTACAACATGTACTCCTGAAAATGAGGTCTCTACAATCATGGTTTCTCGTACTTTGTAACCCACTGACAGATCCTCCCAACACTCTTAAAAGAGTTATTCCCGAACTTGCCTCACAACTCCAATGGTGGCACTTTGTCCCAAAGCTCTCTATGGGACGCACTTCTCAACAACCATGTCCTCAAATGCAGGTCACAACCGATGCAGCCTTACCAGCTGGGGAGCACATTGCGGCTCTCTCAAAATACACGCCTATTGGTCCCGCAGAGAACATTCACTCCACATCAACAAGTTAGAACTATTAGCGGTAACAAAGGCATGCAAAGCATTCAGAAACATTCAAGCTGGTCCAGATTGCCAACAGCCATGTACTATGTTCTCAAACAAAGACGCACACACTCCCCAAGCGTCCTCTATTTGGCGGTCGACCTATGGGAATGGTTCCTCTCACACCACATATGCCTCACAGCTCTGCACATTGCAGGCCAGGACAACGTCCTAGCTGACTCTCTCAGCTGCACAAACTCTCAACCCCACGAGTGGGAATTAGATCAAACTATTTTCCTCCACCTGTGAAAAAGATGGGGGAAACTGACTCTAGACCTTTTTGCCTCCCACGAGAATTGGAAATGCAAGCGCTATTGCTCCTGTGGCAGGATCAGCAAACGCGACGAGACGTGTTCATTGGCCGCTAGCCCAAGACCCTCACATACCTTTTCCCACCATTCCCGCTCCTCCCCAGGGTAACTGTCCGAATACAACAGGACAAACCCAACGCCATCCTCATTGCTCCTTGGTGGCCAAGACAGCCCTAATTCCCAGTTCGACACCACCTGTCCTCTGACGTCTATCACCTCCCCTGCTTAGCACACCTCCCCATGCAGAACAACTCCCGGATCCTTCATCCTGACTTACCTGCTCTGCACCTGCAGCGTGGAGGATTCTCCCTCCTTGATGGATGTTCTCCTTCAAGCAAAGAAACCCTCAACTAGAAAAACTTACCTGTATAAATGGAAAAAAATTAATCTTTTAATCTTCCAACTCCTTTATTCTATGATTCAGTTTTCATGCATCAGTCTGACCTTTTGCTTTAAAGATATCTGGACCACAGATATAGAAAATCTAAGTTATAGAGCTGGCTTTTATTTTTTAAAAGGAGGGGGTTAGGGGAAAAATGCTGAACTTGCTATGTCAATTTTTCACTACATTAGATCCCTTGAATCAGATTCATTTTGACTCAGAATTTTTAGAAGCTAGTTAGACATGTGAAATATATCGACCTAGGTGTACAAATGAAGTGGGTTTAACACCTGCTTTGGTAAAAAAACATTATTATTGTTACAGCATGTGGTTTCGAATGTAGCCTTGGTCTTTTTCTCAAATAAAACAGGAGACGTCTTTAAACTGAAGTCCAAACTGGTATTTATTTCATTATTCAATGGTAAAACTTCTTTCAAGGCATCTTTTTGTAACGTCTCTTGCAGTGTCAACGGGCACCGCAAGGGCAACGAAAGATCAGAGTCAAAGGGGTTTAGGGACTTAACCTCCCATGGTCCTGGTAAGAACGGGTCATAACTTGGGATAGCTTGTTCTTCTTCGTCATTTCTTAATAATGGTAAAGTCTCTTCGTCTCCATCCTCTCTCCAGAGCGGCTCCTCCTCTCTCTTGAAGGGTCCCCATGGTCCTGGAGGTACGCCATCCTCCGGGCCTCCTCCACACGCCATGCCCGACGTTCCTCCGCTTCCCGGGCCACTGCTTCCTTTTCTTCCCTTAACCTCCTCCTCCACTCTCTCGCCTCAGATTCTCCCCAGTATGACGGCCGCTGGGGAAGCCCCTTTCTCTGTCAATAATCTGCTTCTTCACGTGGAACTTTTATCTTTTCCCATTTCCCGGTCCACAGGTCTTCCACCCAGATGAGTTCCCAAACCCTGGTATACTGTCATGCTCCTTTTTTATAACTCCCATTCCCGCCTCTACTACGGACCTCTCCCGCTCTTCTCTTCCTGCCAATTCTCCTTCGGCCTGAGTCGCCACAGTCAGACCCCACAGGTTTGCTTCCAGCTCCTGGGTGTCTACTCCCTGGTGTACGCTTTCTCGAGGGGTTGGTGGAGGAGTGGTCTGCACCTCTTTAGATATCTTACAGGTGGACGACACTCCCACAAGAGCTTCTATGCACTCCTCTCGCCTGTCACACAGCGTCAAGCGTTTCCTAGTCACCACCACATCTGTGAAACAGTGCCCACAGTTCTATATTATAATCTACATGCTAGGAAAAAAACCCAAGCAAATTCAGACCCCAGTTCTTTGTATAGTTACTTAAATATTTCACAGCAGGAAGGAATGGCAACTAAAATAAGTATTTGCTGGATGAAAGAAGCCACAGCAGCAATTGATCTTAGCTGGGCAACATGGACGTTCAGATGCTGCTGGGCGTAACTGCCATCTGCCCAGTCAGCACAGCAAAAGAGAAGAGATAGTGGAAATGCAATCCAACATCATTTAAAAGGCCATAAATTGCCCACCTTTCTCTGACAAGAATATAGAAATACAGCTTTAAGGTAATTCCTTCTACGTTCTAGGCAAGAGGGCAAATGACAGCCATCAATGTACAGCCCCATAAGGACACAGATGTACAAAATTGGGAATGTTAGAAGTTCATTTAGACAGGAAGACAAGTTAGAGAAGAGACTCTATTCAATCAGCATTTCCTGCAAATGTTGTTTGACCTGCAAGAAAAAAAAATCAAATTAATACAAATTGCAGAGACACAACAAAATATCCTCATGAGCTGTATCATAGCCAAAATTCTAGTACCTTCACAATATCTGGCCTCCGGTTCTTCTTTTCATTCAGACACTGGCAAGCAATTGAGTACATCTGTTCAATTGATGTGATATTCCAGCCGCTCATTTTTTCATCAACATAATCTTCAATAGTCTTTTCTTCATCTTCAATTTCCTCTTTGATAGAAAGCTGTGTGGAAGCAGTAATAGCATCACAATGACTTGAAATGTTCCAATCTATTAAATAACTGATATGAAGATGAGATGGGTACCAACAAGAGAAAATGGAAGTTCAGTTTAAAAAAGAAAGGAAAAGGAAAGAAAAGAGACCTGCTTTTATAATTAGAGGACACTAAGCTGCTATCATTAGTGTCCATAATTCCACATGCTTACTACAGGGGTACTACACAATTGTAAAAGTACTCGAGATCTTCTAGTTATCTTAACAGAGACAATTGTTGGCCATGATTTCTGTTATTTTATTATTCTTTTATTTATTATGCTCCTTAGTTTTTCATCTATTACTATTATGTATTTTTATGTACTCTTGCAATCTCTGATAAGTGACAAACCCAGGATATCCACACAAGCCTTTCTGGTTAAAAACAAACAAATGGCAGAGCGTCTTCTCTCTTGAAATCAACTAGCTTCAAGGAATTTATGTGAGGTGCAGATAATTAGTACACTGATATAGCAAGGGTCTTCATAACCAGCACAATATAGCAAAATACTTTCCTAAAAGCTTAGGGTATTTGTTTCTAAGTGTTGTCTTTCTACTTATATCCATTCAAAACTTTTTTACCATGACCTTTCACTGAGCTCAAAGTTATAACCTTGTTTGGAAGGATTATAACTTCAAGCTCAGCAGAAAGATCATGTTCTGAATAATAAAAGCCATACTTCAACAGATTTGGCATAAATTGTTTAATTCCCAGAGCTAAAGTCTATTTAATAGTAATGCAATATAAACGTAATATCCTCAATGTTTTAAACATGCATAGAAAAGGGAGAAATCCATTAAACATTTCCTTAAGGGCTTCTTCTAATTCAGCAGGGTGCAAGCTACGGCAGTGGTCCCCAACCTTTTTGACATCAGGGACTGGTTTAGTTGAAAATCATTCTCCTAAGGAGAATGGGGGGGGGGGGACTTGTTATGCAGTAGGTTGTTAAGAGGATAGCTTTGAATCAAGCTCATCAAGGAAATTGTTAGCAGGTGAGCTGCAATTGAAGCTCCACCTCCTGTTAGATCAGCAGCGGCTTTGAACCTAATAGGAGCGCAGGCTCCCATTAGATTCTAATGCCACAGGCACAGCTGATCTAGCAGCAGCAGGAGACCGAAGCTCCATCTCCTGTCAGATCAGCAATGGCGTTAGAGTTTAATAGAAGCACGCTGACAGGATTAGTGGTTAGCAGGTGAGCTGCAATTGAAGCTCCGCCTCCTGTTAGATCAGCAGCGGCTTTGAACCTAATAGGAGCGCAGGCTCCCATTAGATTCTAATGCCACAGGCACAGCTGATCTAGCAGCAGCAGGAGACCGAAGCTCCATCTCCTGTCAGATCAGCAATGGCGTTAGAGTTTAATAGAAGCACGCTGACAGGATTAGTTCCTGCTATATGACATGCCACAGTTCACGTCATGCTACCAAACCACTCTCTACTTTCCAGGAAGGACAATACTGGCGTAAGAAAGAACTGGACAGTCTGGTTTTCCCATATAAAATCCGACTTCTGATGTAATCAACACATAATGAAAGAAACATGTATTTCCACATTGGTTTCTGTTTTGCCTCCAAATGGGTTCTTTTAAAAATACATGTATCATTTCAAACCTGCAGCTCAAACCTGCAACTGAATGAAACTTAACAAACATCTTCAGAAGTCATTCAGAGGAAGACCGCAAACTGTTGAAATCCAATTAAACTCAGCAAGACAAACATGCTTTGAAACAACTCTCACTTCAGCCTTAACACAACTCTTAATGATCTGTACTAAAAACAAAACACAATGTTTGGTTCTTTTACAAAAACTGACATTAAATGGTGCTTCTAGTCCATGCCAGGTCCTGATACAGTGGTGCCTCGCTTAACGAGCACACCATTTAACGACGAATCCGCATAATGACGCGTTTTTTGCGATCGCTAATGCGATGGCATTGCGATGATTCCAATGGGCGAAAATCGCACTGCGATGATCGGTAAGCGTTTCGCTTACCGATCTTCGCATTGCGATGTTCTAAAAACAGCTGATCGGCAGTTCCAAAATGGCCGCCGGAAGAATAAGATGGCTGCCCGCAGTGTTTTCGCACCCTGCCCTCGCTTACCGAGGCGGCGAAAATGGCGGCCGGATGGGGAATCTTCGCTTACCGGTGAGTTTTCGCCCCATAGGAGTTTAATGCGTTCCTATAGGGTTTTACATTCCGCATAGCGATGTTTTTGGATAGTGACGTTAATCCTGGAACGGATTAACGTCGCTATGCGGGGCAACACTGTAAATCTTAATCTAACTCACTCTATTCCTTTAAAAGTATACAGTATGATTCTTATCAGCTTGACATAGCAAATAGATACTAGGTGGTGAGAAAAGTTATAACATTTTGCTATACAATCAAGAAGAAGAATTTACTAGTAATTGTGGTTCCCGATTTTCATCCACAGGAGTAAGCCCAGTTATGATTTCAAGTAATACCTAGGGAAAGATGAAAACAATTTTAAAAATAAAGCTCAAGTGGAATACATGTCACAATCCTTCATCGGTAAATGGCACATCAATCACAATAGGCATCCTTCAGTCTCGAGAGACTATGGTAACATGCTCTGAATCGAGGAGTGTCCTCTCCAGAGCATGAAGCCCGGGTAAGGTAATATCGAGGATAGGCTGTTACCCAAGTAGCAGATCCCCCCTCTCCACATTGCTGAAATGGTCCAATGGAAAGGCAAGAGCCAATACAACTGGTTCCAGCAATGTCGCAGGAGTTGGCAGAACGACACATGCTGCCTTCGGGACTCCAGCTCCGGATTTTGCCTCGAGGTTAACTCCTGAAGCCTTTTCCATGAGTGGATATAGCCACAAGGCAGTGAAGGTTTGAAATCGGAGTTTTCCTTCTCCTAGATGGGCTGCCTTCCATGGCTGACGAGCCCCACCTACCTGGCCTGCTCTTTCAATAGTGCAAAAATATGATCTGATCCTTAAAACTTTCCTAACTCCCAGGCTTATGCAAATCTAATTGGCTTTCCTATTGACCATATTAAGGCCAGAGATACAATTTGAGAATTTCACGCGCGGTCCTGGGACACGCTCTTTTAAAGCAGGAAGTCCCACCCCTAGGCCCCACCCCCAGGCCACGTGGCCAGGAGACAATGGCACATACAGCTTGATGAAAACCAGTTATAATAAACATTCTAAAGAAAATGCTGTTCTGAAATTTTCTAATGCATCCGTTGATTTCCAGGACTTACTTGAATCCCAGGCATTACTTGCTAAGACTCCATTTGCTCAGTTTTCCTAGTATTTAAACAATTGGCTGGAAGAACAGTTTTAGATCGCAAAGCATCTGTGATTTCTTCCATACGTATGCCCTTCCTTTTGGAAAAAGATTTCTGCTTTTCTCCATGAAGCAGCACAATGCCCCCCCGCAGCTTTTCTGAATAAATGTTGTGCAATGCATTCTGTTCCCTTGAGAGCTTCTGAATCACAGGTAAATTGGTATTCCCTCCCATTTGCTACAATTTCACTCTTCAGGAATAGAACTGATTGTGTTGTACATATTGGCACAAGAAAAAAGATGAGAACTCACTCCTGAAAAATCTAACTCCTTCCTCTTACAATGTCTTTAATTTCCACAAGCACACCTGCTTAAAACTTGGATTTCTTCTCTTGTCCAAAGAAATCCAGGTAACAGAGTTTGCCCCTCTGTGCTACTACACTTGGTTCCCTGCTCCCTAGTCCAGGGGAGAGGGAGAATTAAGGAACACTGAGCCAAATAATGTATCACACGGTCACACAAATATCTGCAGTCAGGCTGGGGAAGATGGACCCAGTAAGAACTGGGAGTGGGCAAGAGGAATGGTGAGTTGTCCTAGGGCAAGCTTTGTGTGAGAGGGAGCAGAAGCAGACCTAATGCAATTTGATGATGAGGATGATGAGCCAAGTGAATGCTGATTTATGACCCTCTTCAAGGTTTTCCAGGCAGAGAATATTCAGAGGTTGCTTACCATTCCCTTCTTCTGGGGACTGGGGCTGTGCAGCATGCTATTATTCCAAGTAAAATGTCAGGGAAGCATTTTAGAACAAAATGCAAACTAGAAATAGAAACATAAAGATCTGAAAAATAAATAGGAATACTGGAGGAAAATGAGTTTTCTGCACTGTAGGGAAGGCTCTTTTTTCACTATCCCTGAAGGGGTTGCGCTCAGCTTGAGGAAGTGGAGTTTTCTTCATGAAAGTTTGCCATTTGTAAGATTTTATAGTGGTCCAATAAAAGGTATCATCCACCCTTACATTTGGGTAAACTTTCTGGAAAAAATAAGCTTTTTCTCCTTCAAGTTTAAAATGTCCTATAAGAACAGAGGATGTGGGGGCAAAGAAAAAGAGCTCATGGTAGGAAGTAGTTGCCCACATTAGCCTAAGGTATCTGGATTTCCTCTTTTCCTTTAAGCTAACCGGGGGGTAGGCTTTTTCCTCAAAGGCTAACTTACTCTAAGCCTAACAACTCTACTGGCAACAGAGACATGAACCTCTAGTTTCACTCTTATTAGGATAGACATTTAAAATAGTGAACAGATGTGTAAAACGATAAACATTTTTAAATAGTCTTTCCTTTATGGTGTCAGAACAGACATGATAAGAAAAGCAACAATAAGAACTAGCACCTGCCTGCTACTTACCACACCAAAACTGAAGACATCCGATTTAGGGGTTATCTCCCCACGCAAAGCCTCTGGGGCCATATAGGCTGCTGTTCCCACTATTCTCTCTGTTAAGATGGTATGTGTGAATTTTACTGATGCCCTTGCAAGTCCAAAATCAGACAGTTTGGGCACAAATGTCTCTGTCAGTAAGATATTTGCACTGAAAAAACAAACAAACAAATGTGTGTTACTCTATGGTGTGAGCACCTGAGGGGTAGTGGGCTAGGCAAGAACAGTTGTTGTCTTGTTAATGCTGTTGGCGTCCATCATTTACAGATGTCCACAGCTGACTGTGTGTGGTATTTTTTGCACTGAAAATACACAAAGCAATAGCAATTTTATATAAATGCCTTCAATTGATCAATGTAGGGGAAATATACAAAATATCAGCAACACAGCAGTTTCCTCTCAAATCGTTTTTTTCCCTCTCCCTCTTTTAAATATGAGGAACATTTGAGCAATGCCTAAAGGAAAATTATGCCTATATTTATTCTCAACGTGGTGATTTGTTTTAGAGATTTTACCTTTTAATGTCTCGGTGAATGTGGTTATTTTCATGTAAAAAGCAGATTCCATTTGAGGCACCTTGAGCAATATTACATCTTCTTCCCCATGGAATTGGAGCAGTATTATCCTTAAATACAAGGGACAAAGATGGAAGTGTATTAGTATTTCTATCTGGCTCACTGTTACATTCATTAAATACAGTGGTGCCTCGCAAGACGAGCGCTTTGTTTTACGACAAAATCGCATAACGAAGTTGTTTTTGCGATCGCAAAACGATGTTTCCTATGGAGTTTTTTTGCTTTGCGATAATTGGTTCCCTGCTTCGCTAACTGATTATCGCAAAACGACGATTTTCGCACAGCTGATTGGCGGTTTCAAAATGCCCGCCGGGTAAAAAAAATGACCGCCTGCTGTTTTCTGGGACAGTTTCCTCGCTGCACGGGCAGGGAAAATGGCCACGCTATGGAGGATCTTCGCTGGACGGTGAGTTTCAAGCCCATAGGAACGCATCAATCGGGTTTTAATGCGTTTCTATGGGCTTTTAAAAATCGCTTTATGATGTTTTTGTTCTACAGCGATTTCGCTGGAACGAATTAACATCTTAATGCGAGGCACCACTGTACAATGTACAAGAGACAACAACAAACACACCTGATTACAGCAACTGTAAGTATTCCTCAACCAAAAATAAAGAGCATAGGCCACGTTGGACTACATTAGCCCAAGAAGTTTATTGGAAAGGAAAAGGGCCTTACCCTGCTTATAAACTCTCCAAAAGATCCCATCATGGAAGATAATGCATCCCACTACTCTAAAGATACCATTCTATTTCATATTAATTCTGGTCAGAGCTTGGAAAAGTCACATATTTGAACTATACCTCTCAGAGATAGCATGAGGAATCTAAAAACTGTAGTTCAAAATAACTTTACCAAACTCTGGTTTCAGTAAGACATGGTCTTGGTCACCCTTGTGATCTTAATAAATGATGGTCCCCATCCTACAGCCAAAAAGGAGATTTTTTAAAAAATTACATCATATTTTAATCTACTACAATTTGTTCCTATGTCTCACTATGGAAAAACAGTTAGCTTAAACAAGAGTTTATTGGGGGAACAAAGACCAGGATGACACTTCAGTTTATGACCCTAGATATCCCATCCAACAAACACTGGTTGCAATGAAAGGTTGGAAACATGAGGCCATTTAGATGCAGCTGTAATGCAATTTCCGCCTGCTCTAGTCATAATAGCCCATGATGAGAGACGATAGGAGTTGCAGTTTGATGTCATCTCAGTCACCACACATTTTCCATTCTTGGTTTAAACCAATCACAGTTCTTCCCAATTTGAAACAACAAACTCTAGTTAGTCTGTATGAGAACTTACTATTTTTGCCCCCTTTTTGCCAAGAATGGATATGTGTGAAGAATCCAAGAGCACTAATAGACTCATTAAAGAAAAATTACCGTATTTTACCATGTACTGTATACGACCCCCCAATGTATAAATGGTCCCCTAATTTTGACTCTTGATGGAGGCAGAGGAGCAATTAATGGGCAACTGCTCCTCCACCTCCATCTCCTGCTGGTGCTGTCTCTGCTGCCTGCCTGATTACCTCCAGCTCACATCGCTGCCTTGTCCTCTGCCCTAAGGAGATTGTGGGAGGAGGTGATCTGGCGGCGGCAGCAGGAAGAGGGGCCTGAGCACGTGCAAGTGCTTGTTTGCCTCCGCCTCTGCCTCCACCACCAGAGGGGACAAGGCGGTAACATGAGCTGAGCCTGTCAGTCCCAGTGGAGGTGGTGATTGGGCGGATGGGGGAGGCAGCAGCAAGAGGCGCCCAGGCACATGTGAATGCTCCTTGACCTCCACCTCCTGCTGCTGCCGCCTCGGGACCACCAGAGGGGACAAACAGTGAGCTCTGGAAGAGGCAACTGGGCAGGGGCAGTGGCAGCAAGAGGCACCCAAGCGTGCACGTGACTGCTTCCTTCCGTGTATAAAACGACACTCAAATTTTCCTCTAATTATTTTAGGAAAAGGTGTCGTTTTATACACGGAAAAATCTGGTATGTCTCAGTGCTGCATCCAAACCAAGCCAAATTGTAGAAGGCAGATAACTTGTTCTCTCTAAACCTAGATTTTTTTTAAGTCAGCTTACACTTCTTCAAAATGCAGACATGAGCTAAACTCCCAAGGAAAAGTTCAGGATCACTTTAGTAGAAACAATACCATGCCAAAAGAAAACAACCACAAAATCCAAACCTTGCTAAAACACACCAGAATTAATCTGATCATAGTGACATAACAAAAAGCCATCACAATACCAGCACTGGATATTTACTCAGTTTTCAGACTCTTTACATTTTTAAAGCTTCACATTCAGATCCATATGTACTCCAGGAAGTACACAAAACTCTGCAGGCTGTCTTGTCATGGCAGTGAAGGGGAGCACAGAACACACACCTCTTTGTACATGCAGAGTTTCCCTCCCCACACCTGACAGGACAAGCTTGCTGGAGAAAAAGAATAATAATTGTGATCTAACACACCACACCTTTAAGAGAACAGGAAATCTATATATCTTTTTCCTCCTCAATTTAGCATGCTGAAATGTCAAACCTTTAGGCACTGACAACAAGGAGCTGTTTCACTTACCAGACAAGCCAGTCTGTCAAGCAATGAGCCGTTAGGCATGTAATCATACACGAGACAAGGCTGATCAAAGTCATTTGAGAAACCAAGCAGTTCTACCAGATTCTCATGTTGACACCTGTGAGGGAAATAAATGATCTTATCAATCTGAGTTTCCATATTTTTCAGCATTTTCTGTTTTGAAAACCTGAGAGGATAAAGTGCTCTGAGAAACCCTGTGATGCAACTTTGATCACTGCTTGTCATTCTCAACTGTTTATGATGACTACATCGATTCATCTGCCAGGATGTATTTCACAAAGTAGCAGCAAAAACACTATGTACAGAAAAGGTGACAAGTTTTCGTCTCATATGCCATCAAATCATATCAAATATATGGTGTCCCTAAAGGTTTTTTAATATCTGTGAAATATTTAAGGAGTGGTTTTCACATTGCCATTCCCAGTGTGTTTTTATGGCCAAGTGGTGATTTGAATCCAGTTCATCACTCTATCCGCTACACCACACTGGCCAGTGCAGTCTCCAGCATGGGGAAGAATCCCATGTGAAATCCTGGAGTCAGGACTAGTCAATAAGGATCTTAAAAACTACACGTCCTTAAAAATAACTAACATTATTATGGCATATACTTTATAAGACAGAATTTACTTCATGAAATGCTTACAATACTGAGCCATCAGACATGGTGTCATGCACATATTTAGCCCTGACAAAATTAAAAAACAAAATAGCTGGCACAATGGAATTAAAGATGATCAAAATAGTTTAAAGCACTGAGTGCTTTAACTCTCTGACCCTGAATGATAACGCATTTTCTCACCTTAGACCATATTATTTTAAGAACTCGTATGCCAGAGGTAAAGACATCAACACCACAATTATTAGCTTGGTCCAGAATAGAGATGGAGGCATTCGTATTTGTATATGAATATCCCCCCCCCAAGTGGAAATAATGAGGGTCCGGCCCCACTCCTCATTTCGCTGCTCACCTGAGCTTGACACAGCCTTCCTATTGCGCCGTTGTCTGCAATGGATTAGCCACTCTGCAATTTGGCAGAGAGGCTTGTCATCCCACCTCTTGCCAGGAGTGGCTAATCTATTGTGGACAACAGTGCGTGATAGGAAGGCTCCGTCGACCTCGCGTCAGCAGTGGAATGGTGAGTGGCGGAATGGCTATTTCAACCTGTTGGGAATATTCATATACGAATACCTCCATCTCTAGTCCAGACCCAGAAGGAAAATAACTTATTTATGACTTGAAATAAGACAGCTTCCATTCTTCCCAAAGCCAATACTGTACCATACTTTTCTTAGGATGATAGGAAGGCTCCATCGAGCTCGCGTCAGCAGTGGAATGGTGAGTGGCGGAATGGCTATTTCAACCTGTTGGGAATATTCATATACGAATACCTCCATCTCTAGTCCAGACCCAGAAGGAAAATAACTTATTTATGACTTGAAATAAGACAGCTTCCATTCTTCCCAAAGCCAATACTGTACCATACTTTTCTTAGGAGCCTTGTGGCGCAGTGGTTAAACCGCTGTACTGCAGCCAAAACTGTGCTCACGACCTGGGGTTCAATCCCAGGTAGCGGCTCAAGGTTGACTCAGCCTTCTATCCTTCTGAGGTTGGTAAAATGAGTACCCAGCTCGCGGGGGGGGGGGCAATGTGTAGCCTGCATAATTAACTTGTAAACCACCCACAGAGTGCTTGAAGCACTGTGGGGCGGTATACAGTATAAGCAGCACGCTTTGCTTTTGCTTTGCTGAAGTGACGGTAGCCATTATATTTCTTTTTTAAAATATAAATTGAGATCTCAAGAACTGTGCTTATACATTTGTAAAATCAAGCATTACAATTTATTTTGACATGCTGTTGAGCTGAACAGTTTATGTTTACAACTTCAAAGCATCCCTTAATTGGACAGAAGTTCCTTTGTAACCAGTGGGACTAGAAGACACATTCAGATATATAGGTACAAGGGTGATTGAGAGAAAGCCAGATAAATAACAGGATTTTGTGTTTTCTACAAAGGAACAGTCCTAATTCAGGGTCATGTAGATAAACAGTTCAATCCTCTGAGACAGAGACATTTTTGGGGTGGTGCATAGAAAAAGGAAAGAAAACCCCATGTCCTTCTATACGGACATGATTCCTTCTCTTGAGCAACAAGATGAGAGGTGAACACCCAACTGCTCAGCAAAACAACAGGCTGGCACAGTGACAGCACAAGTCACATAAAGTGCCAAATAAGCATTCAGAGATTTTGGACCACTGTCATGCAAAACATCATGAGAATTAAAATATTACAGTTCTTCCCTGTTCTACCAGCTAGTCCCAGTCTTCTCTTAAGGTGTTTCATGTGTACTAGTGACTTCAAACAACCAACACTTGGACAGTTTTGAGATATAAAAAACTATACATAACACATTGTAAAAAGGAAAGGAAAAGAAAAGAAAGAAAAGTAAAAACCTACTATCTGAACAATGTCCTCTACCAAGAGTACCACTAAAATTTTAAACAAAAAAAATGCACACTGCCAATTTGTCCTAATCAGTGTGTTGAAAAATGCTCAGTACTTACTTTGCCATTATTCCTATTTCCTGGTCAAACTGCTTTTTCAGGTCTTCGACATTTACATCAGCCAGCTATAAGGACAATTAAAACAAAACTCACTAGAAATTCCTAAGTGTTGGGGTGATCTACAGAAAGTATACAATTCCAAAATAACTCCACTATGCTAAGATTTTGTGCTGGAAATGGGTAAATAGTGTTGCCTAGATGATATCCTTTATCTTTAGGTACTGCATAGAGAGATTCAACCAGGTATAACAATCTCAGGGCTGCAGTATGAAAAGTTAGCCTACAACTGTCTAAGAAAAAAAGTTCCAAACTGTGTGCCTTGAAACCCCAAATATACAGTAGTTGAATTCACTCATGTTATTAGCAACAAGCATGTTAAGAGATGCTTCAAGAATTAACTATTTGTCACAGAATTTTAAAAGGGAGTGCATCACTTAGGCTTATCTCTGCAATATCTGAGGAAATTCCTATCTCTATGGAACCTGCTTTTGTGACATCTTGCAAATAGTACTATTCTATGTGCAATGAGTGACAAGATGTTTACAAAAGGAAAAGAAGCATATTAAGTCCCACGGCGCCCCCAAAAGGAAAGAATGGTAAATCACTTCTGACTACTCTCTACCTAGAAAACCCTGAAAAAGGGTTGCCAACGGTCAGAATTGATTTGGCAGCACACAATTATGGTTATAAAGCAGAAGTGTGGAATTCTGTTCGAACCCAAGGGCTGAACTGCGATTTGGGAAGGGTCACAGGTATCACACCGCAGCAGTGGGTGCGGCTCAGGTGGTGGGTGTACCCAAAACAAGAGAAATTGAGACAGATGTAAAATTTACCAGTGTGTCCCAGTGCAACAGCTTTCTGGTACCCAAAAGCTTCACAGACTGCAAACAGAGCTCTTATTCTGTGCAAAACCTTTCAACACTGCAAGCCAGAGTTCACTGCAAAACCTCCACAGGATTTAAATAGTATATTATCCCCAGTCCCTGCACCTAAGACTTAATTTTACATGAACCTCTGTTCCTGTGCTTTAGAATTCTAGTTAGAGAAGTGAAAATGAATGGCCATGTGAACATGGGTGGTGCATGTGTCAGCACATCTTCATATATTCTAACTGATTACCTAAAGGCAGCAGAAGTATACATCCTGTAGGACAAACTGACTGAGAATTAGACAATTTACCCCAAGAACAGATCCATGCATTCATCAAGTACACAAGTAGTCACCTGAGTTTCTGTTTGGGCTGGTGCTCATTTCAAGAATGTTTGCAGTGACAGAACAGTCACCTGTTCTACAAGCAAAAGTTGCCAATTGACATGTTGCTCCTCAGCAGGGCTAAAAGCATTCAATTTACCCAGACTCTTCTAAGAATTCTGGCGCATAAAACTTCAAACACTATCCCTGCCTTCTATTTAGTTATAAGACAGACATCTGTCCATCCTGAACACTATATGCAAGACAGAATTTTGATGTTATAACATTGGTTGGGTATGACCTACACCACACTGTGGCTAAAATACTGATGTTTAACATAGTAAGTCATTCTAGAGGAGGCCCATTGAATCAATGATTTTGTGAATCAACTTCTTCATAAGTTCCATTGACTCAAAGGGGCCAATTCTAGATTTGCCTTACTACACTAAAGTGCAACCAGAGTAGATCCATTTAAATCAATGGAATTTACAGAGGAGTTGCTCACTTAATCACCTCTTGATGTGCCTACGGTTTTGCAACTTACTATACGAAGCAACAGTATTTCAAACTGTGCTCTATTGATCCTTTTCACACCTTCGGAATTCAAATTCCATTATGTCTAAAGCAAATTAAGCAGACAGCACATGGCAAACAGAAATCATAGGCTAGTAACCTACAGCTGTAAGTCTTTTCACTGCCACTGGTCTGCCACTGATAAATCCTTTGTACACTACTCCAAAGCCTCCTTCTCCAAGCTTATTACCACCAGCTGACACAGTCCGATCGTCAAAATTATTTGTAAGGCTTCTCAGGTCATGAAATGAAAAACTCTGCAATCCTAAAATAAATCACAAGCAAGAGTAATTGGAACTCTCAGTATCGAATTTTAACATTAGTATTACAGAATTCTGAATTTTAAAAATAGCTAAAACATCTTCACATTCCACTATTCTTGCCTTTGCTACAATGTATTTTACCTTACTAAGATTCATCCTCCTTTCTTCGAAAGTCAGCAAAGTATGAAGAGAAAACAAGAGGCAATTCAGTTAGTTACTCTTTTCTAGCTAAATTCTACCAACCCACTACTTTTTAGCTCAAGACAGCACCAAGCAGAAATATACTGTATACTGTATAATCAATAAAGAAAATTGAATATTGTCCAAGCTTTTAGCAAAAACGGGTGAAGGGAAATCTCTCATGTATACTGTAAAACCAGCTTTTGACACAATGCCACCGCAGGTTTGTTTCTTTTTTCATCAATATGGGAATTTTGTAAGCCACTTTATCAAAAAAGTGCTACATAATAAACCTCAATAGGTAACATCTAAAACTGTAAATAAACAAAGAACTAAGAAAAAATTTGAGGAAACAAGTGTAATTTTAAGGAAGTGTTTTAACATACACTACAGATGTTACCTCTGTTTTTAAAAAATGGAAAGTGTGTTTCAGAATGCTGTTTTCCTGTCAAGTACAAGGTTGCTTATAGAGTACTGCCAGATAACAAATACAGTGGACCCTCAACTTATAGACGGCTCAACTTACAGACTTTTCGAGTTACAGACTTCTCTGGCCGCAAAATTTAGATTTGACTTGCAGCCAGAGAATCGACCTACAGACCAGAAAAAAACCAAAATGGAACAAAAATAGAATAAAAACTGCCA